TATTGCTCTTATTTAATATTAGTTGTATGAGACAGTAAACTACCTTTCGGTACATGCACTTGATAAATAATGAAAATGGTCACTAGGGCAGCGAACTTATTGTTAAATGACTGGAGTCCCTGGAAGGATGGTGACTCCATCCCAAGTTGGTTCAGAGACCATTGGCCATTTAGGCAATGCTGCCCACAAGGACAGTTCTACCCTGTCCTGCAGGGTCACTGTGAGTCAGAGGTGACTCAATGGCAGTAAGTTTGTTTGTTTGTTTTTTCTGAGAGTCCCTAGGTGTCCCGAAGACCAGGCTTCCTACTCAGTAAAGAATGATGATGACTTGGAAGCCCCCAGGAGTGGTTTTACTCTGTCAAGAGGGTCCATAGGAGGGTCACAAAACAGCTCAGCACTGGGCAACTAACTGCAAGGACAGTGTTTAACATTTATCCAAAGGTGCCTTAGAAGAAAGACCTACACACAACATGTCACTCAAACCAACCCAAATCAAACAAATGCCCTCTGGGAGTCAGGAGTTTACGGAGCACCCAGCTTCACCAAATTCCTTGCCTTTGCGCCGGGCCAACTCCAAGTGACTTAGTGGCCCATAGGAGAACTGCCTGTGTAGAATTTCTAAGGTCATCAATCTTTACGGGAGTAGAAAGCCTCATTTTTCTCCTGCAGTATAGCTGGTGGATTTGAACCACCAATGTTGTGGTTCACAGTCCAATACATCACCCACTAGGCCACCAGAGATTAGTGGATTCTGATGGCCGCTCTGAGGTCAGTGCGTACCTGACTGTATCACCAGGGCTCCTACCAAAGCTCGCCGCCCTTGAACTGTGCTGTTTGGGAATACAGAAGGTTGTCATGGTATGGACTGACTTGATGACAAGTGATTTTTAAAACAGTGGTGTATTTCATTTTAGTGACGAGGCTACAGTGCGGAGGAGAGATCCAGGAGTATGGTCTGGAGGTCATTTGGTCGGGCTGTTTGATAAGAACGTATGCAGCTTGGTGCCATTGTTAGACACTTGATGCTGACCTCAGAAGCAGTGATTCAAACTCACTGGCAGTTCCCAGGGAGAGCTGAGGCTAACTGCCCCTGTAACGACCTGCAGGTTGCCATGCAGCTATTTGGCTTTGATTTGGGGGCTTTCTTACCCATGAAAGCAAATATTCACTTTAAAGAAATGTCTGACCCCAATTAATTTGCCAGAAGCTTTTCTTTCACTTCAGATTGCAAATTCGTTCTTTCCTGTTTGTCTGCAGGATTACTAAATTTGATTTCCAAAAGATATGTCTGAGTTTCTACATCATAGACCATTCTTTGTCCTGATATCCATTGATCTCAGTAAGAAGGGGAGGCTAGGCGCATTCAATCCTGCTAAGGTTAAGCAATGGTTGATCTCCTATATTACTCCTTCCTTTAGGGAGCTCTGGGGATGTTGTTGGACAAGCATTGAACTGCTAACCATGAGGATCCTTGGGAGAAAGAGGAAACGACCTATTCCCATAGATATTCACAGTGTTGAACGCCCTATATAGGATCTCTGAGTTGGAATTGACTTGCTGGCCGTGGTTTGACTTGTGCTTGGCTTCTATTTTAAGAAGTAGTTCAAAGCCACCACCTTCTCCACCAAAGGAAGATGACGCTGTCTGCTCTCATAAAGATTTAAAGCCATGGAAACTCTAAGGATCGGTTCTTCTCTAGTCATTATGAGTTGGAATTGACTCAAAAGCAGCCAATTTGGGTTTGGTTTGGATTTTATTCTCATTGTAAGCCTCACTATACCTTGCTGCATTGAGCCATTTCCTTTCTCTGGGGTCAAAATGAGTTTCCTATATGCACGTAGAATAACTGCTCAGAATAAGTATTGTGCTCAACTCTGATTGAATTTTCGTTATTTGAACAGGGGTTAGGAACGTGGGATCAGATAGCTTAAGGATTAGAATTCCTGGTACACTGTTTCATAGTTGTGTTACCCTGGAAGAGTCACGTCAACTCTTTAAATTGATGCCTTTCCTGAGCTAGACAGTAGGGGATGGTAGTACCTACCGACTCCATGAGCTGACTCTAAGGACAAGAACAAATTTTTGTGTAGAAAGCTCTTAACACAGTGCTTAGTATGTGGCACATGTTAAAAATGCTATCTATTATGATTATGAACATTTTTATGTATCTCACTGTAATTGAATAAAGCAATATAGCCGTAAAGATGATAAAGGAGGTGAGACAGCAGTGCATTACGCGTGCTGCCCGGAGAGGTGTGAGGAATTGTCGGGGTCTAATGAAACATAAAGGAAAGAGAAGGAGAATTGAGAACTGGAAGAAGCTGGACATTTTTATGGGCAACCCAAAGCGATGAGAAACATGGAGGGAGGCTATTCAGACAGACTCTGTTTCCATGAGCAGTCTCAAATTCTGCTTTGTTTTCAAAGTACAAATCACATCCAGCTTTCTTCAGTGGATGTGTGAAGTGGTGGCTAAGACAGTTTTATGATCTTAAGTGACCATCAAGCCAATGTGCTTAATCATGTGTACTACGGAAAAAGAATGGTAATGACACACGCTGAGCTTTTCCCTCTGGTGATTTCTTTGTTACAGCTTTAATTAAGAAAAGGTCAACTAGGATGGTAGAAACACTTGCATGTGCTTCAAATTAGGGGGTGGGAGGGAGATGGTGGGAGTGGGTGGGAGGGAGATGGTGTGAGATGACATCATTGCCGTCGGACATGATTGAATCTATAGTGACCTTATTCTTTTCAGATTTCTATACAAGTTTTTTTTTCTTGAGATTCAGTATTTAGTTCGACCAGAGAACATTGAAGTTGCAAATTCATCAGAAATAGGACTAAACCAATCACTCTTTCCTCTTTTAGTTTTGAGAGTCTGTGTTGTGGTAAAATGGAGATACTATTTGATCTCAAAGTTCAGAATATCTGAACAAAGAGGTAGGCTTATGTTAGCTGGGTAGAGACTTTTTAGATCCTGGAAGAGTAGGGTATAGTGTAAGATTAAGTTAGTATGCTGCTAGTTATTTATATACATAAATGATCATTTAGTTATATAAAATATATGACAATAACTACTATATATAACGTATTATATAATAACCGGATATAGCAGGGCATATTACACCATCGCTCTGTATAATATAATTATATGTGTAAAGGGAGACTGGGAAAGCGGGTGAAAGCACAGACAGGGAGGTCAGAAACAGAGGCCAGAGGAGCTCCCTCGTCCGGGTGAATGGGAGCAGAGCTCAAAGAAACTCCCACAGCCAGGATTGCTCCCTCTAAAGGACACTTTCAAGTATTTGTCACAGATATTGCCTCAGAGACCAAGAACTGGCACTATTTGTGGACTACCTTTCCTAGAATCCCTTGCACCAGACATCATGTAGACTGAAGGAACATTACACACTGGATTTAAGGTCTCAGAGTCTCTCATGTCCCCCCGGAAACCCATAAAAGCCTCCAAACAAGGTGCTCAAAGAAAAAGGCAGTCTCTACTGCACCAGGAAGGCTCTCCCCCTTAGTTGGATCTAAATCTGACCAGAGTAATTTTTTCCCCTGATAGGAGACAATGCTTGTTAACTACCTAATATTTATACTATTATTGGGAAATGTTCATCAGTGTATGACAACAGCATCTTACGCGCTATTCTTGAAAATGACTTCTAAAGCATCAGAAGCAGGAATAGGAAGAAACAAACAGTAGAGAAAGAGTTCTAGAAAACAAGGGACACCTGACTGCAGCCCGGCCCATGACCACCGAGTAGCAGACGGCTATGGTGTGTGGGGAAACCCGTTTGAGCTTTATGAAATGGAGTCCTGGAGGAGCGCACATGGAGAAAGGACTTGGCTTCTCTCCTTCAGGCTGGAGGTTCAAGTCCACCCAGAGGAACCTGGAAAGAAAGGCCTGGGGACTATTTCTAAACATCAGGGCAGTCCTCTGACACACCTGGGGGCTTCATGAGTCAGCATTGACTGGATGGCAACTGGCTAACTGTTTTCTGCGAACCAGTGGGGGAAAGAGGATTCTATGCTGAAGGCATGAACCGTTTAAAGACATTTAATGCACTGGCTCATTTGTTAGTTGTAACTGCTGAAAATCCACGAGTCCTCAGTTTAGAGAAATGCATGTTGAGCAGGATTGACGTATTTCTAAGAACTGAAGTTTGCCAAAGAGGTTTGTAAAATAGTCGTCTAAACTAGGTTGAAAAAAATACAAGGAGACTTTAAAGAATGAATGGAAAAATGGAATTACCACTAGAGAATAATGAAAAAAAATTTTTTGAGAATAACGAAATTTTTTCAGTGAACTTTTTGAAGGATCTCCATGGGATGAATCTCCCATGTCACAATAAAATTGAAAAACCTATATGAATACCTTTATCCAAGTACAAAAGGCACTGAATTTCCAGATTTTTTCACACCTGACAAAATAAACTTTGTATATTCTGGGATGTGAAAGCAGACTTGTGTATTTATAGGTGAATTAGGAATTTGTCCCACACTATTCTACCTAAAATGATTTCCCCGATCCAACCTTGAGCTCCCAGTGTTAATCACTGGGCTTTAAATTGTGGAGAATAATTGAAGACAATTCTCCCCGCCGTCATCATTGTTAAAGAAAAGATTTCTGTTTTATTGTCTTAGACATCACTTCCTCTTTTTCATTGCTATTGTAAAAAATGAGATATTGTTTTCCAAATCAGCAGAGAAACCCATTCCCTTGTAATAAGACACATTCTTTGCCATGATTGTGTGTGATTGGGCATGGCCCAGGTCCCATAGACCCACCTGGATGCTAGTATGGACCACGACATGCTTTTACACCACCCACAGGGACATGGGTTAATCACAAAAAGACTTCTTAGTTGAATCCGTGAAAGTGCTTTAGTGACACTTTCAGCATCCTGGGACTTAGCCCCTTGCTGAGACTTCCTGTCACCAGATCAGACTGTCCCTTGGTCTAAGGACAGTCAAGTGGCCAAACCTGCACTAACCATGACGGGTTGTTCCGGAGCATGTTGACATACAACCCGAGGAGAACATGTTCGTCAGCTAGTCTGTCTGCCACATTGAGGCTGTACTGTACCCTGCAATGGGGCAGGAAGAAAGAAAGTGGGGTTAGTCGAGGCAGACAGAGTAGGTGGAACAGGGAGGTGAGAGAAAACCAAGCAGAAGAAGAGGAATAGGCTGTTATGTTCTAGGGAAAACACAAGCAAAATCCAAGCAAGGGCGTTCACAATCCCACCTGACCAATTTGAACAATAAAGACGCCCCTTTACGTTAAGTAAGTTTCACAAGAGCAGATTTGCATTCTTCAAACCACTAAAGGGAAGTCGCTCGTCTGAACAGTTAACACAGTGGGTTGCATGCACAGAGCAAGTATCTGTCCCTGGGACAAAGCGAGACATCCGCTTCGTCACCACCACCAGCAAACAGTGAGTCACGGCACGGATGTGTCTACTGGGAAATAACTATTTGGTGCTGTTAATTGGGTTATAGGAGAACTGCTTGCAAACACAAACCCGTTTTTGTTTTTACAACAAAAGACATCTCTGATTTTAGTGCTGTGAGTTCAGGCTTCTGGCACACTCTCGTCTGTGACTTACCCTTTGCCCTTCAGAAAAGCTGGCGCAGCCCTAGCCAGCCGTTTGCTTTGCTCTACTTCACTGTCCTTGGGAGGAGAGCTAGTTAATAAGACGGAAAGCCAAGAAGAGCGTAAACACGGCAATGCATTCACGAGGAGAAACTGGCAACAGAGACTTCCAAGGTCCCTTTGGACAGTTTTCTTATTCTTTGGAAACCTTCAAGGTGTTTTCAGCTTTCTACAGAGTTCAGCTGGGCGTGAGAACCACAATAGCGGTACAAAACGCTAGCTACCACCATCCCAGATTGGGTCTCTGCTATTTGCTCCAACTGCAAGGATTTACTCGGAGATTTCAGGTGCTTCCGTGTCATGACAATCTACTCCCATGGGTGGCGACCTACCCTGTAAGCGGCAGTTCAGTAGCTCACGAAGTCCTGCCAGTCTGGAGAGCCCGCTGAAGAAGTTGACCTTCACCAGCCTCCTCTAAACTCTCCCACGTCCTGGGTTGACCAGCGACTAGAAAATCACCTAGCGGTTGCTGCCACATTAGACCAGCTCCCCTACTCCAAGTGCAAGGCACCTGACTTTGGATGTGAAGCGGCAAAGAGCATTTTCAGGGCAACAGGGAACTAAACCTCTGCATCTTCTGAAGGAAAGTGATAGAGTGGTGTGTCCTTCCGTGTGTGTTCTTCGTGAGGAGACGACCGGGGAAGAGCCTCTCCTAACGACAAGCTACCGTGTTAGGTTCATTACACCTGATCTTAGCCAAAAGGCCGAGAAGCGATGTCGTGTTAGGCTCATTTAACTCACATGCTAGTTGGAACGAGTTTACATTTCGTTTCATTATAGGACCAGTAGAAATAGAGATAATAATAATGGGACAGTGGCCACCCCCAATCCCCAAGATCTACTACAATGAATAAGAGTGCTTCGTGGAGAAATATTCATTCTCAGCATGACAATTCTATACCGATAACATGCCGAAAGAGCGTGCTTATTTGTAGGTGAATGAAGAGTTTGTCTCCCGACACTATTCCACCTAAAATGCCCTGTGGAGAATGCAGGAACAAGCGGCCCAACTTTGAACACCAAATGCTAATCACTGGGCTTTCTATTGTGAGCTTTCACGCCCACATGTCCAAAAACTAAATTTGTGGCAACCTGGAATGAAAAGATCCTGGAGTTTTTACACACACACAAATTTATGAATGTATATTCAAAGCAGAATGACACACATTGTGGTTGAAGTTCTTATAACAATGCACGCTCCATTGGCTCTAGGATGGAATGGCTAACACATGTAAGCATTCATGCTTGTTGAATGCATGACGGAGTTTTCACTCAGTTCTTCCGAAGTTAGTATTGCTGTCTTAGAAAACACAACTGAATTACCTGGTATGGTACTAAAATCTTTTTCTCCTTAACTCAAAAATACGCCCCGAAGCCATCTTAATGTTAGCCTGCCTGCCTGAGCATGCTGCTGGTTTCACACCAGTCTGTGTGGGATCAAACTTACAATCCACATTTGAAGGACTGGACAGAGACCTTATAGGGTAATGAGTTTGTTAAGGAGAGAGGGTGCAAACGGCTGTACAGCTGGAAGAATTGTAAACAGGACCGCTAAATTGTACATGTAGAAACTATGGTTTTCTAGGAAGGCTCTCCACAAAATAATTCACAAAAATTTCTCTTTTCAAAAGATAAAAAACAACAAAACAGAACACATAACTGAAGATAAGAAAAAAATGACCTTAAAAATGAAATGAGATTAGTGTTGTAGGATAATTTACTTTCCAGATGAGCTTAATGATTTTTCAACTGACTGATCTCCACCTTCTTAATAAGGTGACCAAAAATCTTATCAAAAGGCCACCTTCGATCATCACAGTTGGTGTCATCTGTGAAGGGCCCTCATCCTATCAGCACACAGCATCTGGTTTCCCAGAGCTCATCCGTGTAGCTCAGTCTCCAGCAACTGTGGCTTCCTTGATGCCCAAACGTTGCCTCCAATTCCCTTTTTTCTAAACTCGAGATAGATGGACCTATCCCTCGAGACATGGCTTGCAACGTCAGGGTCATTGGGATGAAAACAGACCTACCGTGTTTCCTACTTCTACACTGTGATCTACTTCTTTTCAACTTAAATCAGTTCCTGGCCCTGTTAGACTTTTTTGTTTCTTAAATCCCAGAAATTGTGGTGATATTTCCTTAAACAACAACAACAACAACAACAACAACAACAACAAATCTCATCTTTATTCAGGTACAACCTGTGATGCTGACTGCATATGAAGATGAAGAAAATAGAGGCAGTAGAGAAGAAAGACACAACAGGATCAAGGGATGAATTATTCTGGTGAAATCTTACGGGAGGAAATTGTATGGCAATACAACTTCACATGTCCTACTCCACTGCCTGGCCACTGGCACAGCGGACGACAGCATGGTGTAGGAGTGGAATGGGCACAATGGCTAGGCAGGGCGGAGCTGTCCAGCTCCAATTCTTTGGGCTTCTCTTCTCCCTCCTCTACTACTTTTGTGAACTTTTGTCTTCTGCTTCTTGTTCTCCTCCATTCTTCTTCCCAGGTCCCTTCTTCTATCAAGTAGATGAGCAGACATTCTACACACACACACACACACACACATACACGAATACACATACACACCTTTCCTTTTGATAATTTTGTTTTGCCAACCTTGGCTTGAGGGAATCATAGAAAGTCTTTTATTTTCCCTCTATCTACTAATGTGATTCTCTGGGAAATATGCAGATGTAAATCTAGAGATTGGAGAAAAACAGTTCTTGGAAAATACGGGGTTGTAGTATTTGCATGTGGTTTTTTTAGAAATAGCTGATTTTTTTAAATAGCTCTAGTAGTTAATATCTAGCACAGAACATTTCTGACTTTTGGATACTGGCTGTTCTCATAAGTTCTGTACTTCCTAGAACTATCCTCAACTTCTTCTCTCCATCACTATTTCTGGGAAGTTAAAAATATGACCAAGTATAGAGGAAGCTAACAACAAGCTAAGTATGAGAAAAACCACAAGACAACAAAGCCACTCTTTCAAAACGATATGCTTCAAGAACACAGGATTGGCTGTAAGACCAGCTTTGCTTAAAACCTGGACATTTTGCCAGAAGCAGAGTTATGAAAGAGTTCTCCTAAGTTATAGAAGTGGTAGTACTACATCATTTATTATGACCCCTCCCAAACAATATATTCGCATAATATTTTGTGTACATGGTGAGAGTCTTAAGCTTTCATTTTTTGACGCTCACAGGTCTGCTTGGAGAAGTTAGGTGACATTCCCAGCTCACCATGGTCGCTGGGATGAAAACACAGACACAGTGCGACCTCTTTCCTTTGGGAGGAATGAGTGCTTCCAGCATGTCAAGGTGCCAGCACGCAACAATGGCTTTCCTGTCCCCCCACTTCTAGCTAGTTCTACATGCTTTGTCCTCAAATAAAAATGCACCCTTCCTTTTAACTTCAGAAATGGGAGCAAGTTGGGGCTCCCCTTGGCCAAGGGTCATACATCTTTTTGAATCTGATTCCTGAGGTGTAGCAAGGCTACCATCCCTGAAAACTCTCTTCGTTTCCTTTCTGTCATATTTTTAGAGTGTCCTAAGCTAACAACATCACACAAAAGTGCCTGTAGTTTTTTCTTAATCATAGAGTGTGTTTTTAAATGCCACTTCTGCTTACAATAGGTGACTGGGTAAAGATCTTATCAGCCCTGGTACCAGAGTGAAAGTGGTTTACATGTGCTAAGGTCTTGAATTTGAAAATGGGGCAAAGGATTCAATGCCATGGATCAAATGTGTCCTCCAAAATATACCAGAGGTCTTCCTGCCCCCTCCTCAAAACCCCAGGAATTTCCCTGGGCAGAGCGGATCTTCTGTAGTGCATATTTGTCCCGCTAGGCGACCATGGAGCAACTCGCTCTGGGTTAGTGCACCCAGTGGTGTTGCCTGGGAAGGTTCTCTCTGGTCTCAGTGAATTTTTTCTTGAAAGCAGTTTCACTTGAACCTCTTTTTGTGATGGCCGATTAAGAGAACAGCATGTGGCTGTGAAATTTTGTTTCCTGATTGGGAAAAATGCCACAGAAACTGTTGTGATGTTGAACACAACTTACAGGGACAGCACTATGGGAAAAACTCAAGTGTATGAGTGGTTTTCTTGTTTCAAAAGCCGGGAAATTTGAATCAGGACAAACCTCATTCTGGATGTCCATCAACTTCCAGAATGGATGAAAATGAACACTTGTAGTGCATTTGGAGTTCATTCCACCAGGTCAGACTGTTAATCAAGCTTTCTATTTAGAGGTTCTGAAAAGATTGCATAACAGTATGCAAAAAAGGCCTGATTTGTGGCAGACTGGGAACTGGTTTTGCCACCACCACAATGCACCTGCTCACGCAGCCATCTCAGTGCACCAGTTTTTGGCAAAAACCAGAATGCCTCTCCTGCTCCACACACCTTACTCACCTGACCTCTC